GGTTTGGGGGTGTTGGAGGGGTGTATGGGGGGTTCTGGATGCGGGGTGCTGACGACCTCCGACCGGTAGGTGCTGACCGGCCGACCAGTCAAGGGTCACCGACGGTCGGGGTGTCCAACACTGCTTGCAATAGAATTTAGGCAAAGTGTACAGACAGTTGGATGGGGCTTTATGGTAAAGGTTGTAGAAGGCTTACATAGGAACAGGGTAGGCTGTATGTGCGAGCTAGACCCCTGCAGCATTGCAGCGGGCAGATACTAGGCAAGGCTGGATTGACATGCAAACACTTGACGATTGGCAAGTGACCTCAGGGACTGCCCTGAACAACCCCTGCCCCCCCTTCCCCCCTGCGCCAAGCCCCCCCAGGGATTACCGTACTGTGTGTCTTGGTGCTGCTAGCAAGCCTCCCGGTCAGTAGGGCAATTCACCATGGAGGGGCAAAGGTTTGGGACTGGGGTGCACGTAAGCTGGCCCCCCCTTGCTTCGGCGGCTAGTGCAACAAGGGTTAGGCTGACCCCCCTCCTATCTTCTCTTCTCCCCCACTGTCTTTGTACAAACATGCTTGCCAGGGATAAGTAACCCGACTGCTGCCGCCCAGAATAGAAGGGGCCTGTGGGTTTTGTTCAAAAAAAAAGAAAAAAAAAGAAAGAACAGTTGGCAGCACACACATACACATTCAGAAGGCCCATGAGTGAATCCGAAAAAGCAAGAGATATTATAAGAAAAAGAAGCAAAAATGCCAAAATTTGAAAAAAAGGAAAAAAAAAAAAAAGAACGGTACCTTCAAACTCCTAAGGAGGAACAGCTGTATCGTGTCCATGTAGTGAACAACAAGAATCAATTCACGCAAACGACAGTGTTAGTACTAACTTAGTAGGCTTTTTTTTTTTTTTTTTTTTTTTTTTTTTTTTTTTTTTTTTTTTTTTTTTTTTTTTTTTTTTTTTATTCAACCACGTTTTTGTTTTTTTTTATTGTGCAGACATTATCTGCATCGTGTCTATGTGGCGAATATCAAGAATCAGTTCATGGCGTTAGCGCAAACAAGGACGG